GTGTGGCCTTATGACACACTTCCGGTGATGTCAGGGGGTGTGGCCTTATGACACACTTCCGGTGATGTCAGGGGGTGTGGCCTTATGACACACTTCCGGTAATGTCAGGGGGTGTGGCCTTATGACACACTTCCGGTGATGTCAGGGGGTGTGGCCTTATGACACACTTCCAGTGATGTCAGGGGGTGTGGCCTTATGACACACTTCCGGTGATGTCAGGGGGTGTGGCACATGCTAATGAGTTCCCCTAGCTCTTTTTCCACGAAATGACCCCTGACATGAAGGCAGGATTGAGAAGGGTACCCAGAACATTTGCCGATAAAGTTCTTTATGTTGTCGAAGGCTTTCACGGCCGGAGTTCATTCGTCGTTGCAGATTTTCCGGGCTGTATGGCCAAGACCATGGCCATACAGCTCGAAAAATCTACAACAACTAATAAAGTTCTTGTTTTTAAAAAAATGGAATGTTCCATCTTTCTTTTCAAAGCCAGGAGGTTTGATCACGTCGCTAAAAGTATGTACTCGTGGTCTCTGCGATCCGGTTCCCACTTTTCTCTTCCGCAGGTCCGTTTTCAACACCACTGTGGACTGGCTTCTCGGATCTAAAGAAAAGGGATGTTGTTAGATATCAGGAAAGGGTTTCCCCCACCCTGAATCCAATATCCAGTCTGTGGGTTCTAGATCAAAGCAAGCCCGAACTCTCCCTAGAAGCTAAAACTACTAAACTTGAAGGACTTCTTCACCCAAGGAGTGATGAACACATGGGATTCACTGCCACAGGAGGTGGTGGCGGCTACAAGCATGGACGGCTTCAAGAGGGAATTGGATAAGCATATGGAGTAGAGGTCCATCAGTGGCTCTTAGCCACAAGGTGTAGATAGGAACTCTCAGTCTGGGGCAAGTGATGCTCTGTCTTCTTGGTGCCGGGGGGGGGGTCAACAGTGGGAGGACTTCTAGTGTCCTTGCCCCATTGCTGGACCTCCTGAGGGCACCTGGTATTTTTGGCCACTGTGTGACACAGAGTGTTGGACTGGATGGGCCATTGGCCTGATCCGACATAGCTTCCCTTATGTTATCTTATGTTTCAAGCTATTGTACTTTGGCCACATTGTGAGAAGACAGGATTCGCTGGAAACAACAACAACGCCAGGGCTCTTTTTGTAGAAAAAGCCCAGCAGGAACTCATTAGCATAATAGGCCACACTCAACAGCAGGAACTCATTAGCATATTGGGCCACACCCCTGACAGCACAGCTCATTAGCACATTAGGCCGCACCCCCATGTTACCAGAAGTGTGCTCATCCAGCCACACCCACCTTTCCCTTCTTATTCTGTTTACCTTGTTTGTTGTCAAAACCCAGGGCCTTTTTTTGTAGCAGGAACTCCTTTGCATGTTAGGCCACACACCCCTAATGTAGCCAATCCTAATGAGTTTCTGCTGTTGGGCGTGGCCTATTATGCTAATGAGTTCCTGCTGGGCGTGGCCAGCTCGGGAGCCAGCCGGAACTCCGTTCCTGTGCGTTCCTGCCCAAAAATAGCCCTGTTCACCACTATGCTAAGTAGCTAAGTCCCTGGCTGTGTTTGACACCGTTTGACCACTCACAGCTGGCTTGATGGAGACACTGTCGTGTCATCCTGAAGATCTTTGTTCCGTGTCTCAGGCAGAAAGAAGCAGAGGATCCCCCCGGCCAAAGCCATGCCTCCAAGTAGCACCATCGGAATTGCAGGGTGGATCTCGTCCAGAAGGCCGACCAGTGGAGCCAGGATGCCACCAATTCTGGACGACATGGAGCACAAACCTAAGCTGGTCTGCCTGAGGGAGGAAGCAATGCACAGAAAGATTGAGACTGGCTGGACATCATGACAGAGGAATGGAGAGGCTCACTAAAAATACATTTTTATTTATTTGACATACGTAAATGTAATGTATTCAATAGCTGCCATGGAATGCATGATGTATATGAAACATCTAATTGACTTGCCATGTTGAGCTTCGTCCTGGGCTAGGATCCAAATCCATCCATTCGCACTGCTAGCCCAGGAAGCACCTAGCCAATCACTTTACAGCAAGCTCCCTGAGCGGGAACGTCTGTGATTGGTCCTTATATGAACAACCGTATTGGTTGGTATTTGTACAGTGGGTGTGGCTACATTAGCCGGGAGAGTTTAAAAGCAGGACAACGGCAATGTAGAAGCTGAACTGTTCTGTTCTGGCTATCAGGTTTTGATCCGTGTTGGAGTTGTGTTCGAGTTGAAAAATAAAGCTGTGTTCTTGCTGAATCACTCTCTGACTTCTTTATTAAGCGAGCGACTTAACAGTAAATGTCCGCCTCCCTCCCAGCCATCTCAGGCCCAAGGTAGGTAACAGTGATATAAAAATAAGTCAACCAAAAAATAGCAAAAACCCGAAAAACCAATCTAAAAACATTGTATACCCTCATCAGCAGTGTGTATTCTCCCTTTGCTAGGGTTGCCAGTCTCCAGGTCTGAGCAGGCATTTTTCGGGGCTTCTGCCCAACGCTGCCTATCTGGCCAGCAGGGGGAACCCCGCCCCCAAACAGTCACATGCCCGCATTTTGTCCCTGATGCAATGACGTCACCCGGAAGTGATGTCATCAGAGGAAGGAAGGAGGAGGACTAGAATTGCTGGCAACCAGGGGTCATTTCGTAGAAAAAGAGTTGCAGGAGCTCATTAGCATAACTCATTAGCATAACTTATTTGCATATGCCACACCCCCTGACATCACTGGAAGTGTGTCTGAAGGCAACACCCACCGCTCAGGCTCCACTGGACTGTTTTGGATTGCTAGCTATTGGGGGGGGGGACGTGAAGATCTGTCCTCACAGAGGAGGGAGAGCTCCTGCCTGAATAAAACTTGGTCTTAAAGGTGCCACTGGACTGTTTTGGACCAGGGGGTGTGGGGCTCTGCAGGTTACCTGGCTGCTTCTTGCTCTGACTGAGGGCTGCTGGGAGCAGGGGGTGGGGCTTGTTGCATGTGCCCACCCCCTAGTCTCTTTACTGCCGGAGCTCCGCTCCTGTGCGCTCCTGCAGGAAATGACCCCTGCTAGCAACCAACAGGAGATTGTGAGGAATTTTTTGGGGGGGGGTTTGCAACAATGCTATGATGTCAGTTCCAGAGGAACCCAGAAGTGACACGATCACATTGGGTGAAACGAGGGTCTCTTGACGCAACGAGATCACTTGCAGGTTGCACAAGAAGTAACATCATGGCATCAGCAGGCTACCAATAGTTCCCATCAGAAGAAGAAGAGTTGGATTTATATCCTGCCCTTCACTTGGAGTCTCAGAGCGGCTTACAACCACCCTCCCTTCCTTTCCCCACAGCAGACACCCTGTGAGGTAGGCGGGGCTGAGAGAGTTCTGAGAGAACCGGGACTGGCCCAAGGTCACCCAGTTGGCTGCATGGGGAGGAGTGGGGAATCAAACCCGGTTCTCCAGATCAGAGTCCGCTGCTCTTGACCACTACACCAAACTGGCTCTCAGCTAGCCCTATGTTTCCCCCAGAAGCGATGCAACACCAACAGCAATTTTTTCAACTTTTTTCTCTCTCACCAGCCATCAGAGCACTGGGAAATGTGAACCGGGGATGGAGCATGCCCCATCCCAGCGAGAACCTGGCAGCCCTACCTTCAGTTTGGTGCAGCGGTTAAGAGCGCGGACTCTAATCTGGGAGAACCGGGTTTGATTCCCCACTCCTCCACTTGCAGCTGCTGGATGACCTTTGGGGAAGCCATAGTTCTCTCAGAGCCATTCTCTCAAGGGCTGTTTCTGTCAAGAGCTCTCTCAGCCCCACCTAACTCACAGGGTGTCTGTTGTGGGGAGAGGAAGGGAAAGGAGCTTGTATTCCACTCTGAGACACCTTTGGGTAGTGTAGGGCGGGGTATAAATCCAATCTCTTCTTCTTTTACCTCACAGGCTGTCTGTTGTGGGGAGGGGGAGGGAAAGGAGTTTGTAAGATGCTCGGACACTACCTTGGGTAGTGAAGGGCTGGGCTCCTCCTCCTCCTCCTCCTCCTCTTCTTCTTCTTCTTCTTCTTCTTCTTCTCACTTTCCAGAAACTAGTCAACATCAGTCTGGAAAACTGGACAGAGCTGATCCCAGCAACACCAGTTAGGTTGCAGATACTTCTACTGCCTGAGTGCGAATTAGCTGAGCATCTAATTTGGAACGGTTCTGAGACATTTTATTGGCAAAGAACTGTGCAGAAACATCACCGCTAAAAGCCAAATCACTAACATTTGGAGGCTCCCTCCTGGGAGTTGTCAGCTGCCTAATTAATCCAAATGACTGTGCTGGATGCGATTCAGCTGATGCAATGGCAGCAGAGAAGTAAGATTTTGCCACCATCCCTGCCGCCTCATAGGCTTCCGGGTGGACTCTACAGCGTGCTCTGAGATTTGTCCCTAGATTTCTGCCACCATCCCTCTAGATTAGGGGTGTGCATTCAGCTTTGTCAGATGGAATAAATACCCGAAAAATAATACCTGAAAAATACATTATCAATATTTTTCAGGTATGTATTCAGCCGAATCAGATGCTCTAATCTAATTCAGCTACTGATAAGGTGTTCCCGTATAAAAGCCAATCTTATTCGGCTTTTATTCGGGTGCCCATCCCCGAATCAGGAAGGGAAGGGAAAACAGGGAGGCTTCTTTAAATGCCTCCCCAATCTGTCTTCACTTCCCTGTAAAAGCAAAGGGGGGGAGAGTGGGTCAGTTTCCACAGCTTAGTTTCCAGAGCTTAGAGGGAGAGTTGGTCTACACACCCTAGGGAATCCCCAACCTTTTTGAGCCTGCAGGCACATTTGGAATGCTGAAACGGCATGGTGGATGCAGCAACAAAATGGTTGCCACATAGGGTTGCCAGGTCTGGGTTGGGAAAAACCTGGAGACTTTGGGGGTGCATCCAGGAGAGGGCGGGGTTTAAGGAGGGGAGGGGCCTCAGCATAGTCCAATGCCATACAGTCCACCCTTCAGAGCAGCCATTTTCTCCAGGGGAGCTGATCTCTGTCAGCTGGAGATCAGTTGTAAAAGTGGGGGATCCTCAGGCCCCACCTGGAGGCTGGCAACCCTACTGCCACAAAATGGCTGCTTCAGGAGGCGGAGCCAGCCACAAAATGGCTGCCACGGCTTAACTTCAGCAATGCCGTGTAGATCCTCGTGCTGTGGAGGCAACTGTTGCCAAAGCAACATTAAAAAAAAATCTGCACAGACAATCAAATCTCCAATAGCCAGTCAGAAGCCTTGCTGGCCAAAAGCCCCACCCACTTCCTAAAAACACTTGGTGAGTGCCAGAAAAGGTGTTGGTAGGCATGGCAGTACTCATGGCACTATGTCGGGAACCCCCTGGGCTAGAGGAATCCAAAATGTGTTTCGTGCCTGGTCGGGAGCTTTTCCCATCACGCCTCTGGATGACTCCCCCCTGCCCAGCAATTTCTAAATCGACGCAAACTGAAACCAGAGCGAGATCCTCACCTGATGACTGTGGGAAACACTTCTGCAGAGAACACGTAAGTGGTTGAAAAGGAGGCCCCAAGAGAGGCCTTGCCGATAACAGCCAGCACCGTCACGGCGACAGGGATCGCTGGGCAAAGACAGACCACAGGGGAGGAAATTAGAGAGGAACCACAATTACCTTCCTGGAAAGCTGCCACCATTTCACAAGGATTTGGCACAGAAGTGTTTTTGCATAGCCCACTAACCGTATATGGTAGCTCTGCAGAAGAAACATAAGGCTTCCGGTCTTCGCTGGTTGCCCAGAGAGCAAAAACAGGGAAGATGTTGAACACCTGGCAGGCTGGGATATAACACTAATGGGTTTTGCTCAGCCTGGTCCTGATCCCTGCTGCCAATCAGCTGGCTGGCAGGGGGACTTACCAAAAGCAGGAAGGAGGCCCAAGCTACATCACCAGTAATGTGGTGACACTACTTCCAGCATGTACAGGAAATGACATCATCACCTCGGTGACACCGCAGCGACACTCTGGTGTAACCCCTTAGTTAGTGAACCAGTATTGGTATCTTTGGGAACATTTTTCACAGCTGCTCTCTGTTGTATTTAAATCAGCTGGATTTACATTTTAAGTTTATGGATATTAGCCTAGACTTTGAACTGGCCCTTGGGACTCAAGGGGTTATACCGGTATTTGGGCAAAAATTCTATGGTAGAAACCATTTTTACCATAGAGCTTTTGCCCAAATACCAGAGCATCGCTGTGATGTCACAATGTGATGATTTCATTTCCAGTACACATCTGAAGTGATGTACCCAGGGGTCATTTTGTTAAAAAAAAAAAAAAAGGTGCAGGAGCTCATTAGCATAACTCATTAGCATAACTCATCTGCATATGCCACACCCCCTGACATCACCGGAAGTGTGTCAGAAGGCAACACTCACCGCTCAGGCTCCACTGGAATGCTCCACTGGAATGCGCAGATCTGCCCTCGCAGAGGAGGGAGAGCTTGTACCTGAAGGCGGGCTGGAGGGGGGGACTCTGCAACTTACCTGGCTGATTCTTGCTCCTCGTGGCCCAACTGAGGGCTGCTGGGAGCAGGGGGCGGGGCTTGTTGCATGTGCCTGCCCACTGGGCTCCTTACTGCTGGAGCTCCGCTCCTGTGCGGTCCCGCAGGAAATGACCCCTGCCCACATTGCCGGCAACATGGCCTGGGCCTCTGTCCTTTCAGGGTAAGTACCCCTCACCCCCCCCCATTGCCAAGAGAGACCTGCCAACCCTAGGTTGGTGGACCCCAGCACCCCCCAACACACGTACCACCCCCATTCTCTCACCAAGGACTACTGCCCCCTGTCCTTTTATTCCTTGCTGACAGCTCTGCTCTGTCATCCACGCTGCAATATCCTTTCCAATTCGCTTTTTAAAGGAAGGGTTGCCATATCTGGGTCGAGAAATTCCTGGCGATTTGGGGGTAGAGCCTTGTGGAGGGTGTGGTTTGGGGACAGGAGGGAACTCAGTGGGGCATAATACCACGGGAGCCCAGTCCACCCTCCAAAGCTACCATTTTCTCTAGGGGAACCAGTCTCTAGTCTGAAGATCAGTGATAGATCGAGATGGGCAGCCATGTTAGTCTCCGCAGCAGTAGAAAAGAGCAAGAGTCCAGGAGCACCCGAAAGACTTCTGAAGAAGTGAGCCGTGACTCACAAAAGCTCATACCCTGCCACAAATTTTCTTAGTCCTGGAGATGGGTGGTAATTCTGGGAGACCTCCAGGCTCCACATAGAGGCTGGCAACCCCATTTAAAAGGGTTTTGTCTCTTAGGTTAAGAGATGCTAGAAAACGAACTCTAGTCTACAGAAGCTGATTTTAGAATAAACGCTCGTTTGTCTCTAAGGGTTCACAATAGACATGTGAGATCAATCTGGTAGGTGAAGGACTGCATATAATGAAAACTCTATGGTTTTCCCTTGGATGGCCCCAGCGTGCCCTGCGCCGTCACGTCACTTCTGGGTGACGTGCGTGCGCTGCGCACGCGCTTCGCCCGTGCGCATGTGCACTCCAGCCGCCAGCCGGGAGTCCACCACTGCGGCTAAAAAAGCACTTGGCAACCCTAACTCCAAGGATTTCTTGAGCATATGCAAGGCCCTTCTGTACAGAGAATGGAACAGGAAGCTCTGGATGTATGGCCTCTGGATCATATCTAAAGCTTCCATCTATCTTGCGAGTACATTTTTATCCCGCCCTTCTCCCAAGGAGCTGAAGGCTGTGTACATTTCCTTTCATTGGGACCAGCTGCTGTCAAACAAAAATAATACCCTATGGCTCCGCTTCCCAGCAGAGCGGGGATTTCATCTCTATGGCTTCACTTCCCAGCAGAGCGGGGATTTCATCCCTATGGCTTCGCTTCCCAGCAGAGCGGGGATTTCATCCCTACGGCTCCACTTCCCAGCAGAGTGGGGATTCTGTCCCTATGGCTCCGCTTCCCAGCAGAACGGGGATTTCGTCCCTGGGGCTCCGCTTCCCAGCAGAGTGGAGACTTAAGTGCATGTCTCCCAGGGACTAGTCCACTCCTCCAGCCACTATCACCACACTCTAATATTTGACTTCATCTGCCAACTTTGTATTTTATGTAAAGAATGACTGTACTTTTTGGAATTGCAGGGATGATTAGGCATATGACTCCTGCCAGGAGAAGCCAACCAGCCTGGCATTTCTTCCTCCCCATCCACTGCAGTAGAAAGATACAGGAAGCACGTGCCGGTATTTCAACAGCTCCAAACACAAGCTGGGTCATGTAGATGTCCAGGCCGAAATCCGCAACATGAAGGCTCACTCCATAGTACACCAGACTGTCCACAAACCTGAGAGCAAAGCAAAATACAGTTTGGGTCTGAGTTCATTTTTAATGTATTTTAATATCAATAACCACTTTATTTCTATGGCTTTCTGCGGGTTATATCAAGAGTAGCCTGTGCACACAATGAGATTCCATAGGAGTAGAGAATGCTACGGGTGGGTACTAAATTGAGCTTCCTGCAAAATTCAGGATTGATTTTTTTTTTAGCAGTGTAAATTTCTACTCCTTGCAGCAGCAAAGAAAAGCTTGAAACTGTGCCTGTAGAGGCAGAAGCCTGCAACAGGGGCAGAAGATTTCCATTAACCGGAGGGGGCGGTTTAAAATGGCTTTTTTATTGCTTTTATTGATTTAGCACCGTTCGGAAGACTTACCAGACCCAAGCCATAATTAAAATAAGTTTCCTTAGGTGTGCCTTCCGAAAAAGATCCAGGATGTTTCCAGGTTTGGCCTTCTTTTCGGGAGCCAGCTTCAAATTGTACAAAACGAGAAAGATAACGACGTCAGCCAGAATCGAAAGGTCTGCAATATAGCCTAACGTTATGGTTTGCGCTGCTGGCCTCTGTGTATGGGGTTCTCAGTAGAGTCTTGAGATGCTGCACAGCCAGGCGTGCCAGCTCTGTGTTGGGAAATACCTGGAGATTTTGGAGGTAGAGTCTGGACAGGGCTAGGTTTGGGGAGTGGGCCCGTAGCCACGGTGGGGCATTTGAGGGCAAAGCCCCACCAACCGTGAGCCCTTTTCCACCACCTGATGATTCACCCCCAGTGCGCCTAGCCCCATTGCGGTGGGGAGGCTGGGGAAAGAAAAGGAAGGCCCCCCCTGTGGCTTCTGGTCAGTTTCACTCCCCCCTCATCAGCTGTTAGATTTAACAGCTGAAAGGAGGGGAGTGAAACTGACCAGAAGCAGCAGGGGGGGCCTTCCTTTTCCTTCCCCAGCCTCTCTGCTGCTAGGGGGGAAAGCTGGGGAAGGAGAGAGAGAGAAGGCGTGGTGATGATGGTGGAGGAAGCCAATCTCTCTCCTGGGGTTGCCAATCGCCAGGTGGTAGAAGCCAGAAACGAGAGATCACGGGAGGAAGTGGGATTCCGAAAACAACGTCCGTGACAAAAATAAGGAAGAGTTAATAAAGATAAGTGGGAAAAATGTTTACTGCAGTAATTTCTGTACAAAATGTTGTTCTATAATCGCTCACACGCTACACTTGATCTTAGCCAAAAGGCCGAGAAAATTGTGAAATGTAAATTTAAGAAAGAACCTGAAATATAACTGTTGGGACTTAAAATGGAAGAAGTCAACATGGCGAAAAGGACTTTGATGTGGTACATGATCACAACTGCTAGAATGACTTATGCTCAATGCTGGAAGCAAGACAGAACTCCCGAAATTGGGGAGTGGATAAAGAAATTACTTTTTATGGCGGAAATGGACAAAATGACAAGAAAGCTTAAAAATTTGGAAGCAGAAGAATTTTTCGCAGACTGGATAGACTTTAAAGAATATTTAGAGAAATATTAGGATGTAAAGAACAATTTAATTTGCTTTGATAACTATTGAAAAAAGAAAGATATTAGAAGAAGGATAAATGTATAAGAATAATAGTTGAAAAATATGTTACCTGTAGAATGTGACTAACGAGTAAGGGGGGGAAAGAAGAGAATTTAAGGGGTGGGCTGGAGGTTGGAGCACTGTGGGAAGTCAAAAGGGGTGGGGAAATAGGAGAAAAGGATGTATAACAATTCGTAGTATGATGTATGTTTTACCTCTTAATATATCCTAATAAATTGTTTTTTTGGGGGGGGAAGGAAAAAAATATAATCGCTCACACGCTAATAAATACTGAGCGATGAACAATTCGTTTCACAACATTTGCTTTATCTGAGCGTATAGCAATCCCAATTCTTAACGATTACCACTGAATTTATAAGAACTGGGAATGCTACACGCCGAGACAAAGCAAATATTGTGAAACGGGGTTTTTTTCACTGCTCAGTATTCGTTAGCGTGTGAGCGATAATAGAAGAGAATTTTCTACAGAAGTTACTGCAGTAAACATTTTTGGAACTTATCTTTATTGACTCTTCGTTATTCTTGTCACTGATGTTGTTTTTGGAATTCCACATCCTCCAGGTGGTGGCTGGAGATCCCCTGGCATTACACCTGAACTCCAGGTGGACTCTATGGCATTATATCCCATTTCTATGGACGTTTCCAAGCGGAGGCTGGACGACCATCTTTTGGGTATGTTGTAGGGCTATCTTCCGGCTGTGCTCCTGCAAAGTGCAGGGGGTTGGACTAGATGACCTGCAAGTTCTCTTCCAACTCTAACATTCTATGATTCTAAGTCCCTCCCCAACCCCCATGGCTCCTCGAGCTCCACCCCAAAAATCTCCAGTATTTATTATTTTTAAGTATAAGCATAATGGGTGTCCCACAAGAACGAAAAACTGCCCCACAAAAACGAAAAAGGATCTTAATAAATTCAACTAAATTAGGCTACATTAACTTTAAAATATGAGATTGATAGGATTGCAATTATGGTCTGAGGGGATGTGATTTGATGCTTAAGTGGGTTTCTGACATAAGATTTTAAATGATAGGTGTCTTGGCAAGAAATATATTTAAGTCAAGGTCTGTTCTATTTAGCAATTCAATTTAAACAATTTTGGATGTTGGGAGGATCACAGCCAGGGGCTGATAAGAACTTTTAAAACAGCCAGATGGGCAGAACACAACAGCCAGATGGGTAGAAATTGGTATTTTAAAGGTTAAGAGATGATGAGGATACCTGATGTTTGCATATGAGAAATCTAAATATACAAGAAGCAGGACCTGTGATACTCGTGGGGTTGGTGTATTCCCCACGGCTCCTGGGCTGCCAAGGCTTCTCCCCGCCACCCACAACAACAGTGGCAAGCCCTGTGCGGCTGTGAGCTGTCAGGCCCACCAGGCTTCTCTCCCCCCCACCACTGCCGTGGCAACAACAGGCTCAGCTCCTGGTTGTGGGGCCTGTCAGGCCCCCGTCTCCAACAGTGGCGGCTGTGGCTCCTAGCCGCCACCCGCACCGCCAAGGCTTCTCCACCCCCGCTGCCACCGCCAGCACCAACCGCAGTGAGCCCTGTGTGGCTCTGCCACAGATCCCAGGGGTAAGTGCGGTCTCTGCACATGTGCAGGGAATGCTTTTTTACTTTGGGGGGGATTTAAGTATCCCCCCTATAGTTTTTTAAACTTTTCAGATTTTTCTGCACACCTGGGGACTGCCCCAAGTGTGAAGGAAAATCTCTCTGCCCCCTATGTGCCCCCGATGTGTGGATTTAGATATCCGCACAGAGGGGGCAACTTGGCTATTAGATATATAGATTATAGCAATATACTCCAAACAGTCAATAGGGGCTAGAGCTTCTATAAGCGACATATCTAATTGTCACCTTCAAGGTCAACAACTGAAAGTGTATGTTTATGCCATATTTGTAAGCATTTTGTATGATCACCACACCTTGGATTTACTTTTCTATCTTCCCTTCTTGTCGTTTTTTCTGTAGTTTATAGAAAATGCAATTTAAAAACCCCTTTGAGGGGCTTTAAAAAAAAACAAAATGAAAAATCCTGGCTACGGCCCAGCTGAGGAGGGGAGGGACTTCAGGATGGGACAATGCCATAGTGCCCACTTTCCAAAGTGGCCGTTTTCTCTCTGTAGGCTGGAGGTCAGATGTAAAAGGGGGGGATCTCCAGGCCCCACCTGGAGGTGGGCAACCCTATTCACCGGCTACGATACCAACATTCACAGAGGTGACAACCGACAGCCTGACTGTGTTGTAGTTGTCATTGGGGTTTTCTAGCCCTGGGACCAGCTGCCAGAAGAGCAAGAGGCAGGGACAGCTCTCTTCTTCTCAGCGTACGTTTTAGGGTGAAGAAACTGTTCTTTAAGTACGCCTTGCCTCTCGATCCAGCAAAAACCGCCCCACACCTTCCCACGGCCACACGTCTCTTCCCCGAGATCTCCCCCGGACCACATTTTCTTTCATCACAAAACTTTTTGGGAAAGACGCGCATTTAGGGTTGCCGATTCCAACTCGGGAAATTCCTGCAGATTCGGGGGTGGAGCCTTGTAAGGGCAGGATTTCGGGAGGGAAAGGGACCTCAGCCAGACAAAATGCCACAGGTTCCACCCTCCAAAGCAGCCATTCTCTCCAGGGGAACTGATCTCTGCCACCTGGAGGTGGGCTTGCCAACTCTGGGCTGTGAAACCCCTGGAGATATGGGCGGGCGGAACCCGGGGAGGGCGGGGTTTGGAGAGGGGGGGGACTTCAGTGGCGTACAATGCCATAGAGGCCACCCTCTACAACAGCCATTTTTTCCAGGGGGACCAAACTCTGCCGCCTGGGGATCACTTCTAATGGTAGGAGGTCTCCAGGCACCACCTCGAGGTTGGCAACCCAATCTGGAGATCAGTTGTAACTCCGGGGAATCTCCGGGCCCCACACCTGGAGGCTGGCAAACCTACAAGCATTAGACATCCCAGCCTTTGACACCTGGTTGAGTAATTCTTCTGGGGCGCTTCGCTTGTTGATCGACGCGGCCCTTCGGATTGTCTTTTTCGCCTCTTCTATCTTCCCTCTTGTCAGAAGCCATCGGGCAGAACTGGGGAGGATCCTGCAAAGGTGAGGGTACCATGAAGAGCCGTGGGTGAACTTAGGCGGATCAGGAGAGGGTAAGGTTGCCAGGTCAGTCGGACAAGCCAGCAGGGGGACTTACCGGGAGGCTCCAGGAGCGGGGAGGGAAGAAGCATGACGTGCCCGTGTCACTTCCGGCGACGCTCTCGTTCGTGGGCAAAACTCTATGGTAGAATTAGCTTCTAACCGTAGAGTTTGCCCAAAAACCAGAGCAGCCAGCATCCCCGACATCACCAATGTGCCTACCATGTTTCCCCGAAAATAAGACACTGTCTTAGATTTACTTTTTCCCAAGAAGACACACTAGGGCTTATACCACAAATGCATAGAAATCCTGCTAGGTCTTATTTTTTGGGTAGGTCTTATTTTCGGGGAAACAGGGTACGTCACTTCTGGATGACATAGGCACGTCACGTTTATTTCCAGGTCCAGTTTGGTGTAGTGGTTAATCTGGGAGAACCGGGTCTGATTCCCCACTCCTCCAGGTGCACCTGCTGGATGGCCTTGGGCAAGCCGTAGCTCTGATAAGAGCTGTTCTCAAAAAAGAGCAGTTTCTGTCAAGGGCTCTCTCGGCCCCACCTACCTCACAGGGTGTCTGTTGTGGGGAGGGGAAGGGAAAGGAGTTTGTAAGCCGCTCTGAGACCCCTTTGGGTAGTGAAGGACGGGGTATAAATCCAATCTCTTCTTCTTCTTCTTCCCTCCTCCGAGGGATAATGGGGGGGGGGCGTAGAGGAGCGCCTGAAACCAGGGGATTCCCTGCTCACCGGGGGGATCTGCCAACCCTAGGAGAGCTTTCGTGTCCCTTTCTTCCATGCCCAGGGTAATGCTGATGGCCAACGGTGTAGACTTTCCAATTTCCCGGGGGGGGCTGAACACCTTCCTGAAAATTTCGGCGGGGGCTGACGCCCCGCCGCCCCCACGAAGATTACGCCTATGCTGATGGCCACTTTGGGGTCGGAAAAGAATTTCCCTCCAGGCCAGATGTGAGGCAAACCACCCTAATTTCCTTAAGGGTTAACGTGATTATTAGAGGTCCCAGTCCAGCTCTCGGGTGTTCATGGTTTGGGCCTTCCTGCAGGTACCATCCCTATCTCTTTCAAGGCCGGGCTCAAGTATGTGGTAATTGGCTAATTGTGAGATCCTGTACTCAGTTGTATAACCAGACCGGGGGGTGGGGTGGGAATTAGGAGCAGACATTAACGTATTCTGGAAAGTCCCATTCAGAGAGATTCCTGATTGGATCTTGGTGCCAAGAGGGCAAAAAGCTGTAATAAGAGTATAGGCCAAAGGGAAGTCATGCTAACTTCATGGTCATGCCCAGAGGTCATTTCGGGGGGGATCGCGGGGGATCGCAGTTCCCCCGGGTGAGGTACGGGGGGCGGGGCACATAACGAAGCCCCGCCCCCTGCTTCCGGCTGCCCCGCTTCTGGCCCTCATTCAGCCAGGAGGAGGCAGGAGAAGAGGAAGGGTAAGTTGCTTCCTCCCCGCCTCTCCCCACCCCTGCCTGCCTGGCGCCAGGGAGGGCCTTCGCGGGGCTTCCTGGCACTCCCGCCAGCCTTGCAGGTCCAGCGCTGGGCCCCTCATGGGGCTCGGCAGTGGAGCTGCAAGGCCGGCAGTGGCGGCCGGGACCGTTGGGGGCGGGGTGTGTGGCCTTTTGACACACTTCCGGGGATGTCAGGGGGTGTGGCATATGCTAATGAGTTATGCTAACGAGTTCCCCTAGCTCTTTTTCTACAAAACAACCCCTGCTCATGCCATGCTACTATATTTTGATATATTAGGCTTCTGTTAAATCCTGGGTTCTAGATGCATTGCAGTGATCAGCTCTGGTTTATTAAGTGATTTCGGCAAACTACAAGACAAGCTAGCAGGGCTTGAGCCCTGCTTATAAAGCCAGCAAACACCTCACCCAACACACACCCAGTGATAGGCTATTTAGATTACACTGCTTATCTATTGGTTAGTTCCTAGATCCAGGTGAGCTATTGTTCTAGAGAAGCAAGCTCAACCCATTCTAGGTACAGCTTTGAGGAATGGCTTTAGGCTCAGTACATCAGCTTCATTATCCTGGATAGAATGCTCTTATGCTACTGCTTGGGTTTTATGCTGCAAGAAGATTTGTCATCTAATGCCAGGTTGGGGGGGGGGGAGAGAGAGAGAGAGAAGAGATTGAATTTCCTGCATTGTGCCAGGGGTTGGGCTAGATGACCATTGAGGTCCCTTCCAGATCTATGTTTCTAAGTGGATAAGCCAGAAGAATAAGGAGGAGGAGGAGATCGGATTTATACCCCACCCCTCACTACCCGAAGGAGTCTCAGAGCGGCTTACAGTCTCCTTTCCCTTCCCCTCCCCACAACAGACACCCTGTGAGGTCAGTGGGGCTAAGAGAGCTCTTTGAGGACCGTTCTTGAGAGAACAGCTCTGAAAGAACTTGTGACCAACCCAAGGTCACACCAGCAGCTGCATGTGGAGGAGTGGGGAATCAAACCCAGTTTTTCCAGATTGGAGTCTACGCTCCTAACCACTACACCAAACTGGCTGACCTTCAAGCCAGTATTCTGTACTCTGATAAGATTCAGACAAAACTCTGAAAGACCATCAGCATTCAGAGCGTTATTTCAGCAAAGGCTGAGCTGCCCAGGGGGAAAAAATGTAAAGTGTGTTACTGACACAGTTGCCAGACTCTGCTTGGCACTGGGAGAATGAGCCTGGGGGCTCAGGGCCCGTGATACTTCTTCCCCTTCTCTCCCTCCTTATGTTTTACCTCCTGCTTTTCAGTGAAAACATAACTTGCGCTTCCAACCAAACTGGCAAGCCACGCTTGGCGCTTGTCCTGCAAAACCAGGATTCTAAAACACTGTTGGCCGGTTCAGGCCCAGTGACAAAATAGGGGGCAACCTCCCCCCAAATGCTTCTCCCAGGCTCATTTTTGTAGGTTTTGGTGTTAGAGAGCCAGTTTGGTGTAGTGGTTAATTGTGCAGACTCTAATCTGGGAGAACCAGGTTTGATTCCCCAATCCTCCACTTGCAGCTGCTGGATGACCTTGAGCAAGCCATAGTTCTGATAAGAGCTGTTCTTGAAAAAAGAGCAGTTTCTGTCAGAGCTCTCTCAGCCCCACCTGCCTCACGGGGTGTCTGTTGTGGTTGTGGGGAGGGGAAGGGAAAGGAGTTTGTCAGCCGCTCTGAGACCCCCTTGGGTAGTGAACGGCAGGGTATAAATCCAATCTCTTCTCTTCTTCTTCTTCTTCTTCTTCTAACAGTTATAGAGGCCAACCAAGATGATTCAAGGGGTTGGAGGACCATCCCTACGTAAAAAGACTGAAGAGTCTATGAACTTTCAGTTTATTTATTTATTTATATATTACATTTATATCCCGCACCTCCCCACCAAGGCAGGCTGAAGATGGCTTATATATCTGTTAAAACACTGACATACAGTAAAACACAAATTAATTAAAACTACAATATATAAAATCGTACATTCAAACAGATGTTCATATCAGATGGCATCAATCTCTCAACTGTAGACGGTCGCCCACCACCCTAATCCAGGCTCGTGCCAGGCTGTTGGTGCTGGTGATTGAACAGGGCCCTGGTATTAAAAGGCGGCACCCTAATCAAAGGCCTGGCGGAAGAGCTCCGTCTTGCAGGCCCAGCGGAACTGTAAAAGGTCCTGCAGAGCCCTGATGTCTTCCGGAAGCTCGTTCCACCAGTAAGAGGCCACCACAGAAAAGGCCCTGGCCGTCGTTGCGGCCAGCCTGGCTTCTTTAGGGCCCGGGAGAACTAGGCGGTTCTGGGATCCCGATCTTAGTGCTCTCTGGGGGACATGTGGGGAAAGGCAGTCCTTTAGGTAGGTAGGTCCCTGACCATATAGGGCTTTAAAGGTAAGAACCAGTACCTTGAACTGAATCCGGTATGCTATAGGCAGCCAGTGCAGCGCTTTTAGGGCAGGCTGGATGCGTTCCCGCACGGGAAGACACAACAACAGCCCCGCCACTGCATTCTGCACCAGCCCTCCCGCTGTTGCCCCCCCCCCCAAGCACCAAGAATACAGAGCATCACTGCCCCAGACATAGTGTCACATCTCTACCTTGTGGCTAAGATAACATGAGAACATAAGAGAAGCCATGTTGGATCAGGCCAATGGCCCTTCCAGTCCAACACTCTGTGTCACACAGTGGCCAAAACCCAGGTGCCATCAGGAGGTCCACCAGCGGGTCCAGAACTCCAGAAGCACCAAGAATACAGAGCATCACTGCCCCAGACATAATGTCACATCTCTACCTTGTGGCTAAGATAACATGAGAGCATAAGAGAAGCCATGTTGGATCAGGCCAATGGACCATCCAATCCAACACTCTGTGTTGCACAGTGGCCAAAACCCAGGTGCCATCAGGAGGTCCACCAGCGGGTCCAGAACTCCAGAAGCCTTCCCTCTGTTGCCCCCCCCCCCAAGCACCATGTACATTGCATAAGTAATCCATCCAGACATCGTGACCACACCCCATACTTGCAGACACTCACCATATGTAAAAGAAGAGACACAACGCAGGGGCAGAGCCGACAATCTGATAGAGCCTCCAGTTCCGAATGCCGTATGCCAAGCCGGCCAGGGCCATCTGCCCCATGGCATTGCAACAGTGAGTAATAATCATCGCAAGGGGGCGGTAGGAAGCCCCCACCCACTCAGAACCTAGAAGGGAACAGAGACAGTCAGACTCTTAGAAAAGCAACGATACAGAGTAGACAATGGTCTGTTTTACAATTTATGGCAGGTCATGACCTCCTCACTTCTAATCCAAACTACCATACATGGCTCTACTTTTAATACACCCTTGGAGTTGGCATGCTGTTGGGAAGTCCCTTTCGGTTGACGGGGCTTTGATCTTTTCATAATCCAGCTCTTCTGTTGTGACTGATCAGACCCTTTTTGTTATGTCCTGCACTGTATTTCAGCTTTCCCTTCACCCCTGATTGGTTGTAGTTCATTTGCTCTATGAACTCACGATGATTGTACATTTGTTACTTTTTCTTTCCTTTTTTCGTATGTACCTCCAATGAAGTATGTTTAAATTAAACAAAATAACAATGGGTGTAACCAAGAAGCATGTATATTAGGGGTGTGGAAAATGCAATCTTGAAGCCAAAAATTTACACATTTGTTTCAGGTCATTACGGTGGTATTCCCTAATACAGAACAGTATTAGGAATCGAAGATTCTTAGCGAGACAAAACTATTCCCCCTGAAAAAATCTGAGTTGTTTTCGAGTTCAGATGCTTAGCAAGCCAACAGCTTGCGCTTATCATGTTGTTCTTTGATTCCGCTTGTTTTCCTGGCCATTGGCATCCTTCCTACCAATTAGTTTCTAGCAAGGGAGGAGCACAGCCTAACACTCCCAACCAATCACCAATGCTGCCTGTCATTTCCTGTCATAGCAGTCTATAGAGAGGGGTATATGTGCAGAAAACCAGCTACTTCTTTGGGGTCTGCTAAAATGGAGAGCCTTTGTTGAATGCTTGAAATTTGGCAGGTTTTGGGAGGAGTCAGAGGAGTGCATTGAATGCAATTTTGGTGCCATTATCTTTAATGACTGCTGCCCTAGACCCTGGAATTGGCTGGCCATTGAAAAGGATGGTGCCTGCAGTGAACATGCACAGAAAATGATCCCAAAACTCCAGAACTCCACACATGGATTTCTAACCCAAACCAGTAATACCTTACCTAAAATAAAGCAATCATAATAAAAACAAATTCCCTCCCTAAGCCCAGATCCAAAACTGTAATGATTTTTTTCTTAGCACACACCTTTTACAGTTCCACAGGGCCTGCAACATGGAGCTCTTCCGCCGGGCTTTCAAGTAGGAGCCACCACTACTACTACCATTACCACCACTGGTAGACCTGAGGGGTGGCCCCATGAAGATCAACCATGATTTCGCTGTGGTCAGTACCGCTGAATGGGGTCAAGTAACATCTATGGGTCTTAATCTCCCTATTGTTATTTAAGATACTGGGGAGTCCATCTTGCAAATTTGATTCCATCTTGTTAAATTTTGATTGTAACCACTGAGCACTTTAATGTTGATTGTTTTATCCTGTTTTTATGTTGTTTTATGCTTTGGCACACGGTGCCCTATTGTAAGCCGCCCTGATCCCGCTTGCGGGGAGGGCGGGGTAGAAATGTAATACTAACAACAACAACAACAACAACAACAATAATAATAATAATAATATACATTTAGGGTGATTCTTTAAAAAAGGAGGGAGCATAAATTGAATTCCCAGGGGTTGTCACTTTTGAATACAAGGCCCAGCCCTTCCCAAAGAAGCTCAGGTATGGGGAGTCTTACTTAAAGCCGCCACACTTATACTGAATCCAGCAAAAGCAGAACCCACGATGAATCTCAAGGCGATGTAGACGTACAAATTGGGTGCAAAGCCTGCTCCGACACCAAAGGAGCCCATCAAGAGAAGGGTGAACAAGATCATGTTTCGGCTCCCAATCCTGGGGGGAAGAAACGCAAGGAGGTCAGCAGAAGACGGCCATTACTTGGACACAAGGACACATTGCATGCACACAGTTATATTACAGCTTTTTAGCTTTAGAAAGGGCAATATCTATTTGGAAGGGGCATTATTAGGTAATAGCTAAGGGACCGCCTCTTCCCATATACGCCTCGAAGAGCGTTAACGCTCAAAAGATCAACATCTCCTGGTGGCCCCTGGCCCGAAGGACGCCCGTCTTGCCTCGACCAGGGCCGGGGCTTTCTCTGTCCTGGCCCCAGCCTGGTGGAACATGCTCCCTGTTGAGACCAGGGCCCTGTGGGATCTCCTTCAGTTCTCATCAAAAATTACTTTGCCCAGGGGAAAGCCGCTACTAGACTTTTGTTCATGAGGATCAGGGGTCATTTCCTGCAGGAGCTCACAGGAGCGGAGCTCCGGCAGTAAAGAGCCCAGGGGACGGGCACATGCAACAAGCCCCACCCCCTGCTCCCAGCAGCCCTCAGTCAGAGCAAGAAGCAGCCAGGTAAGTTGCAGAGCCCCCCCCCAGTCCAAAACAGTCCAGTGGCACCTTTAAGACCAAGTTTTATTCAGGCACAAGCTCTCCCTCCTCTGTGAGGGACAAACCCGCCCCCCCCCCCCCCCGAATAGCTAGCAATCCGATACAGTCCAGTGGAGCCTGAGCGGTGGGTGTTGCCTTCTGACATACTTCCGGCGATGTCAGGGGGTGTGGCACATGCAAATAAGTTATGCTAATGAAGTTATGCTAATGAGCTCCTGCACCTCTTTTTCTACGAAATGACCCCTGGATGAGGATGACGATAGTTCCCAGTTCCTTATTCTGGGAACCAACTTCAGCCTCCTCTTTTGTTCTGTCTGTATAACACGTGGAAGTGTGGCGTTCCCTCTCTCACCTATACTATCTCGAATGGAGCTCCCTAAGTAAAGAAGGCTTATTGGTTTGCGACTTACAAATGGCTCCGAGTAACTTTGTAGCTTTGCTAGCACGCACAGTACCGAGACACTGCTGCTGCGTGTAAGCCTAGTGAACCCTGCTACCAACAGATATTCATGGTCATACCACACCAGTGAATCTGTCATTAGGGAAGGTAAGCCAGCCAACAGTGAGAAACCCCCATGCGTTGCTTCCAGTGCCGTGAAAGAAAAGCTGGAGACAGTCATAGCTAAACTAAAGGCCAGCTCATGGGGGAGGCTCAGTCCACACAAGACGAGAAGAGATTTCTTTTCTGTCGGGTTCTTGGTCCGGGTGGTATGCTTCTGCTTTTAAGGCACACCCATAGAACAGCTGCCCACAACCGTAAGGTGTATTTTTGTGTGTGTGTGTAAGCAGAAGAACAGGAAACGTTCCTAGGAAATTAGCCGTTGTAGTTTTTCTGGGTTGTCTGGCCGTGGTCTTGGCACTGTAGGATCTGACCTTTCGCCAGTAGCTGTGACTGGCATCCTCAGAGGTATGACACAGAAAGATGGAGGACTCTCTGTGTCATCTGACAACAGCACTACAGATAAGATCAGAATCCACATGCAAAAGAACCTCCTCAGGAAACAATCCATATGCAAAATAACCTCCTCAGGAAAGCTCCTCCATTAGCACATTCACAGCCTGGGGAACTCCTACAAGATAATGACTCAGCCCTACCCCACCTTCCTGAGTAGATATAAATTACCTGCCTACCATTTTTCTTCTCCCCTTGACACAGAGAGTACTCCATCTCTCTGTGTTATACCTCTGAGGATGCCAGTCACAGCTGCTGGCGAAACGTCAGGTCCCACAATGCCAAGACCAAGTGAGTGCGCGCGCTGCATCCACATCACCCAGAAGTGACGCGATCATATCGGGCACGTTGGGGCGGGGCCACAATCATCCAAAGGAAAACCATAGAGTTTTCCCTCCGATAACCGCGTCCCCACCCCCAACGCGCCCGACGTGACTGCGTCATTTCCAGGTGACGTGCTGACGCCGGGCACGTCACGTGCTTTGGGGGTGGGGTTCCCCCTGGGGCCCGATCTGCCGCCGGACTTGGCAAGCCTACGTGAAAGCCTTCGGCAACCTATTGCCTTTTGCATTATTTATTCTCCTGCCTTGCCAAGGATGAAGAGCTTAGCTGGAAACTCAGATCCTTTGGCAGAATGCACCGTGCTCTTGGAACAGTCATGGTGCCCGTGGCAGAGCAAGTATGGAAGTGTGGCGGACACAAGGCCAAACCTGAAGGGCTACCACGAATGGGGATCGAGCACATTGCCTGTATGCACATTAAATCCCTGCAACAACTGGTTTGCTTCAGGGCAGCAGGAGTGGGGGAAGCACAGCCAAATTGCCGCAGAGACTCACATCTCCTTACCTGTCACTCAGCGGCCCAAAGACCAATGCTCCAACCAGAACGCCCGCCATGAGGAAGGACTGAGAGATGCTGTTTAAGTTCTTTCGCTCGCAGACCAAGTTGAACTAGCAAAAGAAGAACATGCGGTCCTTTTCATTGAGTCTCCTCTCAGCACCAACATTAAGAACATAAGAGAAGCCAACGCTGGATTAGGCCAGTGGTCCATCTAGCCCAACACTCTGTCACACAGTGGCCAAAGATACCAGGTGCCGTTAGGAGGTCCACCAGTGGGGCCAGGACACTAGAAGCCCTCCCACTGTTGCCCACTGTTGCACTCTGCCCCCCAGCATTTCGGTACTCAGCAGCTCCCTTTTCTCCTTCTTTGCATGCATTTGCATGCATTTGCAGCTCGCCCCCTCGGCCCGCCCACTGCAGCTCCGGTGCCCGCCCCTAGCCCACCCCGCACAGGGGGGGGGGCAGTGCCAGAATGTATCCTCACCTAGTGGGCAGAAAAAAACTGGGGCCGTCACAGCTCACAACTGGGTATAGGAGGAGAATGTTGGATTGGGCACTTCCCTTAGTAGCTAGGAAAATATAGATAATCCATTCTCTATAAGTGCTTGGAGAAAACAGGTTTAATCGATCCATAAATTGGGGGATTAACCATCTCAAAAGTGTTAAGGTTCCTCTGCCCAAGCTACAACACATGTACATTACAAACAGGTAAAATTTATGTCTTGGTGCTGAGGTTGCCACAGTAACTGCAGGCAGCGACACGGAGGAAGGAGTAGGTGCGGGGCCCGTCACCGCAGGGATCCGGGTGACACATTAATACCCCCCTGCCACTCTCCGACACCAACACGACACATTTCCCAAAAGAGGCCTTGTCAGCTGATTCCCTGCTGCTTCTCCGGCTCTTTGGAAGGGGACATTGGGAGTGTGGCTCTTCCGCATCTCAGATGCAGGTTAATGAGGCTTACTCTGGAGCAGTGCTCAGGGCCCTACTCCGTCTTCGCTCTGATGGGCATGGTGGGCGATTCTGCATCTAGCGTTCACTCCACATTTTCTCAAATGGGAGGGAAACGTGCAGCTCGAAACCACATTCAGATACCTCGGGGCAACATTGCACTGACTGCAAAGTCACCCCTGAACGGCCATAAATCTATGCAGTAGGTACCGTAAACACCGATGATCAGGGCTATTTTTGGGCGGGAACGCACAGGAACGGTGTTCCGGCCAGCTCCCGAGTTGGCCACGCCCAGCAGGAATTCATTAGCATAACAGGGCACACCTAACAGCAGAAACTCATTAGGATTGGCCACATTAGGGGTGTGTGACCTAACATGCAAAGGAGTTCCTGCTACAAAAAAACCCCCAGGGTTTTGACAACAAACAAAGTAAACAGAATAAGAATCAAAAGGTGGGTGTGGCAACATGGGGGTGTGGCCTAATATGCCAATGAGCTGTGATGTCAGGGGTGTGGCCCAATAGGCTAATGAGTTCCTGCTGTTGGGTGTGGCCTAGTATGCTAATGAGTTCCTGCTGGGATTTTTCTACAAAAGTAGCCCTGGTGTCAAGTAGTATTTCCCTCTGTCCTTCCTGAACTTACTGCCCATCAGCTTCATTGGATGCCCTCAGGTTCTAGTCTTTTGGGAGAGGAAGAAAAAGTTCTCTGCGTCAGCTCTCTCCACCCCATGTACAATTTTATAAACCTCTATCCTTTCTGCACGCACACACCCTTAAGTTGTCTCTTTGCTAAACTGAAAAGTCCCAGAGACGCTTCAGCCTTTCCTCAATGGGAAGGGGCTCCAACCCCCTCATCTTCTTGTTTGCCTTCCTCTGTACTTTCTCCAGCTCCACAATGTCCTTTTAGAGATAACGCTGACCAGAACGGTAGACAATATTCCAAAGGAGGCCGCCCCATAGCTCTACACGGGGCACTAAAATCCATCAGAATGACAGCTTTGGTGAACACCAGAAGGGTGAAGACATTTTCCAGTTGGTTAGGATAGCTGAGCTTAGCAGCTAGGAAAATATAGATAATCCGTTCTCTATAAATGCTTGGGGAAAAGAGGTTTAATCGATCCATAAATTGAGCTGCGGTGGCTCAAGTGGTTAAGACGCTGAACTGCAGGCTGTGGGAGGTCGGTAGTTCAGCAGTTCGAGACCCGAGTGTGCCGCATGACGGAGTGAGCTCCCGTCTCTAGTTCCAGCTCTTGCCAACCTAGCAGTTCGAAAGCAAGAAACTGCAAATAGATAAATAGGTACCACTTCAGTGGGAAGGTAACAGCGATCCGTGCGCCTTAGTGTCATGCCGGCCACATGACTACGGAAACGTCTTCGGACAGCGCTGGCTCTTCGGCTTGGAAACGGAGATGAGCACCGCAACCCTAGAGTCAGACTCGACTGGCTTTCGAGCAAGGGAACCTTTACCTTTACCTAGGATAGCTGAAACTTCAGCACAGTCCTAGAAGTTAGCACCACATTATATTTTTACCTCATAATGCAGGATTTACCTCATACGAGGTGCCACTGTAAACCCCCCAAACTAGACGATTTAACACCATTTTTTGTAAGCAGGAACCAATTGTTTAATTGAAGTCAGTGGTATGGCTCTGTTCTCTGGTCTACCCATGTTTCTAGCTACCAGGGCCCTTGTATTATTCTATGCTGTACGGAGTTTTGAATTAAAGAAATTGCTTAAATTAGTTTGTCTTGCAAGTTTGATTCCTGATTCAGCTATGCAGAATCCACACGGGCATACGTAGTACTACCAGGATGCAAGGCCATTAGAAAGTAGAGGAAAATTCAAAATCAGACTGGATGTTACAAAATAGAAGCGGGGGTGTGGGGGGAGAAAAAAAGAGAGATGTTTGAGGTCATGATTTTAGGGGGGGGGAGAGAAAGAAGAGATGTTTCTGGGCATGATTTTTAGGCCGGAATAGTAGAGAGAACAGGCCTTAAAATCATGGCCTGAAATCTCTCTCTTTTTCCTCTCCCCTCCCCCGTTTTTATTTTGTAATATTCAGCCTGACAAAGTGTTTGGGTGAATCTGAAAGTATGCATGCTGTTTTGTGTTATTTTGGTTGGCTCGTTGGGTATTTAGGGGTTCCAGACCTTGATATCTGTACTCTTCCTTTATTAATTAATAAATATTTTAATGTTTCCTCTCTGCAGAACTGCTGCATGTGTTTCTCAAACTGGGTTGGGAAAACACAGCTAGAGACACAGGTTGTGTCTAACATTACTAATAAAAGGCATTATGTGGATTGCGCTTTGTTTTTTCGTTAAAGAAAGGTCAGCGTGTTTCGTTTTCCAGCTAGCTTTAGCACTCAAGTGTCCCAAGGGGATGATGTATCCCATGATGAAGAAGAAAAGAAGAAGAGATTGGATTTATACCCCGCCCCTCACTACCCAAGGGAGTCCCAGAGCAGCTTACAGTCACCTTTCCCTGTGAGGCAGGTGGGGCTGAGAGAGCTCTGACAGAAACTGTTCTTTTTCAAGAACAGCTCTGACAGAACTATGGCTTGCCCAAGGTCATCCAGCAGGTGCGAGTGGAGGAGTGGGGAATAAGAACATAAGAACATAAGAACATAAGAGCTGCCAATGTTGGATCAGGCCAAAGGCCCATCCAGTCCAACACTCTATGTCACACAGTGGCCAGAAATACCAGGTGCCATCATGAGGTCCACCAGTGGGGCCAGGACATTAGAAGCCCTCCCACTGTTGACCCCCCCCAGCACCAAGAAGACAGAGCATCACTTGCCCCAGAGCCCCTATCTAAACCTTGTGGCTAATAGCCA